GAGAGAGAGAGAGAGAGAGAGAGAGAGAGAGAGAGAGAGAGAGAGAGAGAGAGAGAGAGAGGGAGGGACACCCTATGGAGGCGGTCTTCGACATCGCAAGGCCGATGCATTAATCGTTTACCAGCAGAATTCAATACGATCTGAAACGAACAAATTAACATAGACTTATTATAAAAAATCCAAATGTAATGAAAGGGGGTGCTATACCTTGGATCGACATTAAAAGTGGAGCTTTCCCCGAGAGCCGAGTGGCGGCAAGAAAAAAGTCATTGCTCGCTATGGCTGTCTCTACCTTGTTTGAATTCCGAATATTCTTGCCGGGAAATGCAAAAAGAATGTCAAAAAAAAAAGAAAAAGAAAAAGAAAAAAAGAATGTCGTCGAACCCAATCACATCTCAAGTAGACGGTATCCCTCGCTTGGAGCCTCCCCCCCGAGGGTATCCAACAATTTCCCCTCTCATGGGTTTCAGGATTTATTGTTCAATTAAATAACATGAAATTAGGTTGTCCAGACTCGCATCATCGTTTTTTTTCTTCTTTTTTTTAGTGATATAAGCTTCGATCTATTCGTGGGGAGCAGCGCGTGCTGGGAACCGGGCCCAGCGTCCCGCATCATCGGAAATTAATAGTTCTATCAGTCTAATTTTTGGAAACAGACACCAAACTAGGTGTGCGCTGTTTTCAGAAACACTTTATGTACAATCAATTAATCGAACCAATCCAACCCTCCTTTCCATCATCATCGTCTTATGGCCCGCAAGACCGAACGAGGGGTCCGCGCTATCACCCCTTGTAGCTATATTAGTAGGCTGAACTCACCTGTCCGGCTCTGTCCACCAGGATCCAAGGGTAAGAAGAGGCGTTAGCGATTCCATCTGCTGGCTCAAGTAGACCGTATCCCGTGCAAATGGGGTATCAGGGACGGGTTAACCAACAACAGGCAGCAACAGAATTTGCCGCAGAGTGCGCGGTAGCCTCAGTCTCCATCGATTGACTGTCACTCTTCACCGAAGGATGAAGTGCTCGCGCACACACACACACACACACACACACACACACACACACACAGGCACACCCACACCCACACACACACACACACACACGAACACACACACACACACACACACAGAGGCAGACGCGGACACACACACACACACACACACACACACACACACACACACACACACACACAGAGGCTTGCACGCACACTCACGAGGACACACGCCCGCACACGAAGGAATACACGTGCGCCCACACACACATACACACGCACGCACAGACGCATACGTAGAGGAAAAGTGGGATAAAGGCAGGAAGGGGAAGAGTGTATCGGGCACATTGCTAATGGCATTGCGCAGAAGGATTTTGAGCTTATTGGTAAACAGGAAGCGGGCAGACCTCTGACATTGCCGGACTCCTAGACGAGGGGGGGTGGCGGGGGGGTGTCGGAGAAGAAACGATTGAAGGACAAGAGCCATCGGCAGCGTCCCGAGGGCAACTAAGGGCGTTTCACTCAGGTCACGCATTCCTCAGCCTCGCGAGTTTTCCCGACGGCGATCCCCCGCTTTTTCGCCTAATCCACTCCTCTGCCCTTCGTTCTGTCCATTCTTCCCCCAGAAATCGCCATCTTTTGGAAAATGTGGCGAGGGGAGAATCGCAACCTCTGCATTGACTGTTGCAGATCGCACTCCATCCCTCTCCATCCACGAGATGCACGCCTCGAGATTATCTATCCGGACATAAACCCCTGATGATCACTATGAGGTGTCATCCCTCTCGATTCACGACCTGTTCCTCTTTGTCATTCGTACATAACTCGTCAACGTCTGTCTGTCTGCGTTCCGGGACATTCTCTGCTCCGTTACCAGAACCGCTGGTTCTTCGCTGTCATGATGGCAGTGAGTTCCTCCCCTCAAACCACTTCTTTCAAATACGCATATTGTAAGACGTTGGGAAAAGTCACCGAAAAACAATCAACGAATTAATGTACCTACTAGGCTACGAGCCGGGCCGCCCGGGTCCCGGGTGGCCAGCCCGTGCAAGGACCAGGGAAGGTCCCAGCAAAAAAATAATAAACAATAATAATAAAAAAATCCGAAAAAAAGCTATGGTATGCAGAAAAATAAACTGAATAACTTTTGCCTCAGGGTCACATCGAAACTCTTCACCAAATTCAGAATAAAAAATAAATTGTAAAACTATTTTTTTTTATTTTTATTTTTTTTGGCCCGGCCGGGCAAGTGACCCCGAGCCACTCTGGTAGCCTAGTGTACCAATCAATTGATTAATATGATCATTAATTTACCAATCAATCGATCAATCGATCATTAATTTACCAATCAATCCATTACTCGATCAACTAACTCCACCATCAACTATGTTCATTAGACAGAAAATATCAATCCTCGTGCCCTTCCCTTTTCCGAAACATCTTTCCCCCACGTTCATCAATTAATCAACCAATCAACCAATCAACCAATCAATCAACCAACCAATCAATGGCTCACTCACTCATTCACTCAATCAATCACTCAATCACTCACTCAATCAACCAATCAATCCATCCATCAATCAATCAATCAATCAATCAATTAATCAGTTTATGAACCAATGAATGCGCTAATTAGTGGGCCCCGGGATGGGCGATCTCGATAACCGATCTGTGGCGAGGAGAGAACCGCCACCTCTGCAATGACTGTTGCAGATCGCACTCCATCTCACTCGATCACTCAACATACGTTACATTCGCAGCTATTTATTAGAGTCGAAATCACAAACTAATGGATGAAATCACGCTGGGGCCTTGATCCCCCGTTGCTGTATCCCAAAAACGAGAAAAACAAAGAGAAAGAAACTCCTCTGGACCCAGCTAATCTTGAACTGTCCATCCATGTCAGTCAATCATCCATCCGCTCCTCTCTTCACCCCTTCCTCCGTATCCAGTGGCCCTGGAAGAGATCAGCGGATCCTTTAATCCCCAACGTTGGGCAATTCATCCATAGCTTCCGCCATCTCAGGAGCTCAATCGCCTCCGTCATCATGTCCGATCATTCTGCCCCCTCGGTCCGTGACATCTTACACGCATCAGCCAATCACCCACCCGTCCTTTTGTTCCGTTACACTCCTTCCTCCACGGCTCCTTCCAATGGCAACGACACCCGATTCCTCCAKTATATCCGGCATCCCTCGAGCTCAGCCGCTTCCGTCGTCTTGCTCAYTCATTCGCCCCCTCTGGTCCTGTAACACTTCAGCTCCATCCGCTTTCGACAGGCATAGTCACATGTCGTTGCACTATCTTCCTGTTCTCTTCTCATCAGAGTCATCAGCAATAGAAGGCAGAGCCCTTCAACCCTGATGCCCCGCCTCTCCTCCCCCGTCCATAACTCGACGCCATCGCCGGTTGTATCCTCAACCTATTTTCGCATCGTTAATCAGACCGTCGATCGTCGTGGCTAACAAGCTCATCTTCGGCCGTGAATCGTGCTCCTCTACGACGCATTTGCTTGCCAAGCGCAACGTCTCCGCCGTCACGCGATCGAATGTGAGTCCCACCTCCTCATTCCGCAAGCAAGGGTCCAGAATCTCGGACAGGGTCAGGGTCATCCCTGCTTTAACACCGTCGGCACTTTCGAGGAGAGGTTTCGCCCAGTCCGCAAGCGTCTGCCAACCCATCCCCGACGGATTTGGGGACACCGCGTTCCTCCCCGTCAGCAGCTCCAGCAGGATCACGCCGAAGGCGTACACGTCTATCTTCTCCGACAAAATCCCTGATCGCATGTACTCTGGCGCCATGTACCCGAAAGTTCCCGCCATGTGCGATGTCTTCACCATCGTCTCGTGCTCTGTCCCGAACACTCTCTCTCCGATGGTTGCCAGGCCGAAGTCCGCGACAACGACCCGCAGCTTCTTCCCGGCGCCATCGCCAAGAAGCACGTTGCTGCTCTTGATGTCCCGGTGGATGATCGGGGGGTCGGCACCGTCGTGAAGGTAGGCCAACCCCTTGGCGATCTGCAAGGCGATGCACAATCGCTCCATCAGCGTCAGAGGCGGGAGAAGGGGTCTACCGGGCACAGCTGTCTCTCTTTTGTGAAGGCGAGCGTACAGACTGCCGCCTGGGAAGTAGGGGTAGACCAAGATGGAACGATTTCCCTCGTCGCAGTATCCAATCAATTGCACGAGGTTGGCGTGATGGAGTCTGGTCAGCGCGTTCACCTCGGTAATGAACATGCGGCGCTTGGCCGGAGTAAGTTCGCCCGACATCAGCTTGATTGCCACTTGCTGATTTTCGCCGATCGATCCCCAGTAAACGTCGCCGAAGGCCCCGCTGTCCCCAATACGATAGCTTTGGGTGAAATCATTGGTGCAGTGAGAAAGCGCTGCCAGCGAGAATCGCTGAACCTCGATCGGCTGAGGCTCCTCGATCCCAAGTTGAACAGCTCCTGACCCCGATGGCGCGGAAGTGGTGGTCGTTGCTGTTATAGGTACTTCTGTGCAATTATGGGGTGCAGTTCTGGACACAGGTAATTCTATGCTATTACGGGSTGCAGATCTCGACCGTCTGTTAAGCCCRGCTTTGCGGCGGGCTTTGCAAGCCAGGACACCCAGGGAGGCGAGAGTGCAAATAAGCGCAAGAGAGGAGAGGGGCACCCCGACAATGAGCCCAAAATTGCGAGAGTGCTTTTCGGAGACTTGACTGGCCGTTTGCGATGGACGAGAAGGAGAAATGGCGGTCGGATTATCTGAGTTGAATGGACTCCGAGGAGAAGGAGAAGAAGAGAACGCGCCCCAAGAAGAGGGAGGAGGAATGGAGGAGAAGGTGTCCGTTAGAGACGGAGGAGAAGGTGTCCGTTAGAGACGGAGGAGATGGAGAAACGGAGGAGGACGTTGTTGAATCAGTCCCAGGGAAAGGAACGACCGACGTCGACAAGTCGGGATTAGAGGAAGGGGCCGGAGGAAATGGGGATGACGTGTCCGTGTACAAAGGAGGAGAAGAGGAAACAGGCGAGGACGCAGCTGAATGAGAGGGAGGAGCAGGGGGAGGTGAAGATACTGAMTTGGTGGGAGGAGCAGCGGGAGACGAATTCGCCGAAGASGGAGCAGCCGAAGAAGACGGAGGAGTAGTGGAAGACGAGGAGACCGAACGAGGAGGAGGAGGAGGTGAAGAGACTGAATTGGGGGGAGGAGCAGAAGGTGTCGAATTGNAATTGCTTGTCTAAGTGACTGCTATCTGCTGAGATTGTTACGAGTGAGGTTTTTGCGACACGGTTGAGCTCTTGGCTATGGCGGACTGGGACTTCACCACTGGGGCGGACGAGGACTTGCCTATCACGCCGAAACCTGACCAGGAGATCGCGGCGGAAGATGTGGTATATGGTCCTCTTCTCTTACCCCTCCCTCTGTGTGTATGGTATATGGCTGGTTGTGCTGCCCTGTGTTGGATGTGCTTGATTGCAGGAAGTAACCCCTCTAATGAGTCAGGTAAGTGGCGACGGCGAAAAAGCTTTTAGGGGATGCCACGCCCTCCTGCTGCGTACGTTTTTCCAAGAAGGGCGGCTGAGTTACCAACGGTCTTCCTCCCAGACATTCTGCCTACCTGCTTCACCAATAGCTTTACCTAGATCTGTCTATGAAGTAATGAGACTGACCTGGATAGAGTGTGGATGGGTCTTGAAGCGGAGGATATGGCTGCACTACATTCGGGGTTCTGGCGGGTAACGAAACCGGGGTAATATGGGAACTGGATTTGTGGTTAAATCAGGATTTGAGGAGATGTATGGGCAGTAGATGGTGCGCATACGATAGAGGGAAGCATGAGATGATGATGGGGTATGTCTTTTACTCGTGTTGATGAGTGGTGATTCACTTCGGTAACGTTCGAGTGGTAATAGTGACTTCGCGACGATCACATGCCATAAGGGATCGATGTTATGGCTGCCTTTACTAAGACTGTGAAAGTGTTTTTGATACTGGCGATCAATGTGTTCTGTATTGTTGTGCTATTAGTTTGGTTTTGCTTTTGAGCTGCCCTTGTTATATTTACGCCCCTCACTTTCCCCGCTTCTTCCCTCCTTTCCCACTCATCTGCCTCGACTGGCCCGGTTTAGAGGATTTTCGGCCGCACCTTATCTATTGGGAACGGGCAAAATGTGTCCGGGCACTTTGGGCGGTAATCTCCATGGATTATCTATCCATGTATGACTACCACTCAATACCCGCAAGGCAATCGGAAGGCAAATAAAGCATGAAGGGATCGCTTCCCAGTATTAAAAGCCTGGGACACTCTCTCCTTGGTTTATTGCCTAATTCCTTTTTTCTCTAATCCCTTTTTTTAAGTTTTTTTTATTTTTTATTTTTTATTTTATTTTTTATTTTTTATTTTTTATTTTTTTTATTTTCTTTGTTTTCTTTCCCTTTTTCTCCTTCTTTCTTCTTTTGTTTTCTCTTTTTCTTTCTTTTTTTCCTTCCTTCTTTCGGCTACTATTGGCATATATTGAGTTTAAACGATGGAATTACTCTCATCCTAGTCATTCCCTACGAAAAACGGGCAGCTCGGATTAGTGGCTATGTAACAGTATGTGATGAGATATGTCTGAACCCGGTGGACCACTGTTATAGTGGAGTACATGGCGGAAGCGCTATGAGATTGAAGATCAATACATACACGGAGGGTAACCACTCCCTCCCGAAACTGTTTTTGGGTCGACTCCCATAGCTACACCTTGGAGTCAGTTCAATCCCACGGTCTAATGCTGAAGTAAGACCACTGGTTATCCTGAATACTAGCCCGTGAAAAAATATTGGGATAATGACGTACTCATGTTGGAAATCGCGTTTCTGCATTTCTGCTGCTTTTTTGGATGACTGTATTCCTCTGATTGTTATTATTGGATTGATAATTCTCATTTGGCTATCCCCCCCTTTCCCCCTTTCCTCTTTCTTTCTCTCCTACTCTCGTTTTTTTAAACCGGGGTTGCGCCTTGTAGGAACCCGAGCACAATAAAGGCCCCATAGGTGGTTGGTGGGCAGAAACCATCGACAGAAACACATTCCTCGTGGATTTGAAACTACTCCAAACCAATACAATCACTTATCAATGTGATTCACCCTTCTCTTACCACTATGGTAGGAGAAAAGGTCACATCTGGCCAATTCCCAAGTGTCACGGAAACACTGTTATTCAAGGACTGGGCGGACCTGGCTTGGACATATGAGCACGAGAGACATCAAAGGGACATAGTTCTGACCAGGCACGTGGCCAAAGCGGAGGAAAAAAAGGTGAACTTCATTAAAGAAAATTAGGGTGTTATCGATAGGGGAACGAAGCTCGAGGAGACCATGAACATGATCTGGGAAATCGGGAAGGATGTCGAAGTAGCAGATGTGAGGATTGACGAGGATGGATATGATCCTACTCTGATGGGAATCCTAAGAGAGGAGGAGGGACTTGAGATTAGGATGCTGCTGAACAACCAACCCCCACCCCCTCCACCATCGGACGGTGAAGGTGTCACAGACCACGGCAACAGAAAAAATGGGTTCATACCCATTGCCTCAGCCCGCTGGGTCGAGATGAAGGTCGGGCGACAACAGGACAGAGTATGGACGCAGGGTGGTTTTAACTACCTCGCTCCTATTACGATCAAAGGATGGAAGTTTCTGGCCGACCTCTCTAAAAGCAAGGTCAATGAATGTAGGAGAAAAGCCCTGGCAGGGATCCTGGACTATGTCGGCACTCCCCCGCATTTTGGTGGTAAACTGCCCTTCCCCACGATAAGTGTCCTTGACCCCACCAAATGCGTGTATGCTAACCCCGTTGTTATGCAGAAGATGATCGTGTCCTCCATTAGCCTGGATATGAGGAACCCCCGCAAAATCTGGAACGTCAACCGACCATATTTGAAATGCAGGTGTGGTTACAGAAACAGTCGCACCTGCAACGACGGTCCAATATGGTTCGATCAAGCGGTGTGGTACCTTCTAGCTAAACCGGAGATTGTTAAAACAGAAGGAGGCTTGAATAGAGTCAGGATTGCCTTTCTGTTGCATCATAATGGAGGGATCTCGCTAAAGCCTCTGTCACTTTTATATGGATGCGATAAATGATGCTAACGATCCTTCGAAATCAGGAACGCAATCCGAATCTGATGATTTCGGATCCTTTGTTGGGTAGCACGTTCAAAGCACACCCCTGCCCCAGGATCCTAGCCAACCTAATCCTCCCCACTCGTATTACTCCCGGGCTACCTGCCCTGGAACTGCCGAACCTGAGGAAGAAAAAGAACAGGTCGCCAGCAGGCGGCAAGAATAAGAGGCTCTGCAACGTCTCCCCCAGACAGCAGACCTTCCTGAACTCTTTCAGGATTGCAGCGAACCCTCCGGGAAGCGCTTCCTCACACGCCACTAGCAGCCAGCAATCAGCAGTCATGAATGACAACCCTACAAACGGAGGTTCTTCAGCAAGCAATGCGAACAGAAAGAGGAAAGCGGGGCAATAACCCTTCGAAATCCTAACAACTCTTGTTACATAACGGTGTGTTGATTTCATCCTGCCTCTCACCACCCTCCTCACTTTACTTACGCAGATTACAGGCGCCTGGTACGCTGCCAACTTGGAAATAGATAGTTTTGATCATCTCCTACATACCTTAGAAATGAAATTTGAGAACCTATGTGATGTACTTGTTGAAAGTAGCAACCACAGTATCGTCTCGGTGCTCAACCAATCGGGTAGTGAGGAAGTGGGCATTGTGCAACCCTGTGATAATCCATGTATATGGATTAGCCGGGCGATGCGGAGGCTCAGGGACAACCATAGATTAATGATCAATGAGAGCAGGAGGCGTTGGCAGCAGCACAAGGCAGCTATGCTGAATGACATCGACAAAAGCCTCAGGCGGAAGCAGAGGATGTGTAGAGAAATGAACGCACTCGGGGTGGAAATCCGACGACTCAGCAGGGCTCTGAACTTCACCCTGCTCCTTATGCTTGCACTAGGATGCGTATTAATCTTACTAGATATAGGGCAGTGGTTTAATGCGGCCTAATATTTAGCTAAGCTAACCATATATGATGCAGGTTGAATTCTCTCCTGGCGAAGAAAGAAGCCTTACCCACTGACCTGTGACCCGCAGAGAAATCTCCTCAGGAGATCCAAAAACCGGCCATGGAAGGAGAAACCGGTAGGCAGATCCCGGAGATTGTCAGAGCAGAGCTTGATCCAGATATCTTCCTCCCATGGCCAAGGGGAGGTCCACATGCACTAAGAGTTCTCGAACCAATGAGTTTGGAAGCACAG